CTTTACACCCTTTAAAGTTTCCTGTGGCGTCTTGTCATGTGCTTGGCCTCTTGTGGAAGTGATGGAGTGAAGATTTAGTTGGAGGAGGAGAGGAGGAGGAGGAGGAAGAAGAGGAAGAGGAGGAGGAGGAGGAGGAGGACAAGGAGGAGGAAGAGGAGGAGGACAAGGAGGAGGAGGAGGAGGACAAGGGGGAGAAGGAGGAGGAGGAGGAGAAGGAGGAGGAGGACAACAGGGAGAAGGAGAAGGAAGAGGGGGAGGACAAGGAGGAGGAGGAGGAAAAAGGGGAGGAGGAGGAAGAGAAGGAAGGAGGAGTAGGAGGAGAAGGGAGGAGGAGGAGGAGGAGGAAGGAGGAGGCTTTGCACTGCCTGCCATGTTGCTTAGGCTGGTGATCACTGGTGTAGTCGGTGAATGGCCTCCCAACGCCAGGGCCAGCCAGGGCCATTGGAGAATGGAGAGGGTCCATGCAGAGATGCAGCTCAGAGCTGGGGTATCTGTGGACACTGCACAGGAGACGCCATGCAGCATGTCTGTGCGGGATGATGAGTGTGTGTCCGTGTGTGGGATGAGTGTGTGTCTGTGTAGGATGATGAGTGTGTGTCTGTGTGTGGATGAGTGTGCATCTGTGTGTGGGATGATGAGTGTGTGTCCGTGTGTGGGATGATGAGTGTGCGTCTGTGTGTGGGATGATGAGTTGTGTCTGTGTGGGATGGTGAGTGTGCATCTGTGTGTGGGATGATGAGTGCATCTGTGTGGGATGGTGAGTGTGCGTCTGTGTGGGATGATGAGTGTGCATCTGTGTGTGGGATGATGAGTGTGCATCTGTGTGTGGGATGATGAGTGTGCATCTGTGTGTGGGATGATGAGTGTGCGTCTGTGTGTGGGATGATGAGTTGTGTCTGTGTGGGATGATGAGTGCATCTGTGTGTGGGATGGTGAGTGTGCATCTGTGTGTGGGATGATGAGTGTGCATCTGTGTGTGGGATGGTGAGTGTGCATCTGTGTGTGGGATGGTGAGTGTGCATCTGTGGGATGATGAGTGTGCATCTGTGTGTGGGATGATGAGTGCATCTGTGTGGGATGGTGAGTGTGCGTCTGTGTGGGATGATGAGTGTGCATCTGTGTGTGGGATGAGTGTGCATCTGTGTGTGGGATGATGAGTGTGCATCTGTGTGTGGATGAGTGTGCATCTGTGTGGAATGATGAGTGTGCGTCTGTGTGGGATGATGAGTGTGCGTCTGTGTGGGATGATGAGTGTGCATCTGTGTGGGATGATGAGTGTGCGTCTGTGTGGGATGATGAGTGTGCGTCTGTGTGTGGGATGATGAGTGTGCATCTGTGTGTGGGATGATGAGTGTGTGTCTGTGTGTGGGATGATGAGTGTGTGTCCGTGTGTGGGATGATGAGTGTGCATCTGTGTGGGATGATTAGTGTGCGTCTGTGTGTGGGATGATGAGTGTGCATCTGTGTGTGGGATGATGAGTGTGCATCTGTGTGTGGGATGATGAGTGTGCATCTGTGTGTGGGATGATGAGTGTGCATCTGTGTGTGGGATGATGAGTGTGCATCTGTGTGTGGGATGATGAGTGTGCGTCTATGTGGGATGATGATGAGTGTGCGTCTGTGTGTGGGATGATGAGTGTGTCCGTGTGTGGAATGATGAGTGTGCGTCTGTGTGTGGGATGAGTGTGCGTCTGTATGGGATGATGAGTGTGCGTCTGTGTGTGGGATGATGAGTGTGTGTCTGTATGGGATGATGAGTGTGTGTCCGTGTGTGGGATGATGAGTGTGCGTCTGTGTGTGGGATGATGAGTGTGCATCTGTGTGTGGGATGATTAGTGTGCGTCTGTGTGTGGGATGATGAGTGCATCTGTGTGTGAGATGATGAGTGTGTGTCTGTGTGTGGGATGATGAGTGTGCGTCTGTGTGTGGGATGATGAGTGTGCGTCTGTATGGGATGATGAGTGTGTGTCCGTGTGTGGGATGATGAGTGTGCGTCTGTGTGTGGGATGATGAGTGTGTGTCTGTGTGTGGGATGATGAGTGTGCGTCTGTGTGTGGGATGATGAGTGTGCGTCTGTGTGTGGGATGATGAGTGTGCGTCTGTGTGTGGGATGATGAGTGTGCGTCTGTGTATGGGATAGTGAGTGTGTGTGTGGGATGATGAGTGTGCATCTGTGTGTGGGATGATTAGTGTGCGTCTGTGTGTGGGATGATGAGTGTGTGTCTGTGTGTGGGATGATGAGTGTGCGTCTGTGTGTGGGATGATGAGTGTGCGTCTGTGTGTGGGATGATGAGTGTGTGTCTGTGTATGGGATAGTGAGTGTGTGTGGGATGATGAGTGTGCATCTGTGTGTGGGATGATTAGTGTGCGTCTGTGTGTGGGATGATGAGTGTGCGTCTGTGTGTGGGATGATTAGTGTGCGTCTGTGTGTGGGATGGTGAGTGTGCGTCTGTGTGTGGGATGATTAGTGTGCGTCTGAGTGTGGGATGATGAGTGTGCATCTGTGTGTGGGATGATGAGTGTGCGTCTGTGTGTGGGATGATGAGTGTGTGTCTGTGTGTGTGGGATAGTGAGTGTGTGTGTGGGATGATGAGTGTGCATCTGTGTGTGGGATGATTAGTGTGCGTCTGTGTGTGGGATGATGAGTGTGCATCTGTGTTGGGATGATTAGTGTGCGTCTGTGTGTGGGATGGTGAGTGTGCGTCTGTGTGTGGGATGATGAGTGTGTATCTGTGTGTGGGATGATTAGTGTGCGTCTGTGTGTGGGATGAGTGTGTGTCTGTGTGTGGGATGGTGAGTGTGCGTCTGTGTGTGGGATGATGAGTGTGCGTCTGTGTGTGGGATGGTGAGTGTGCGTCTGTGTGGGATGATGAGTGTGTGTCTGTGTGTGGGATGATGAGTGTGCGTCTGTGTGTGGGATGATGAGTGTGCATCTGTGTGTGGGATGATGAGTGTGCATCTGTGTGTGGGATGATGAGTGTGCGTCTGTGTGTGGGATGATGAGTGTGTGTCTGTGTATGGGATAGTGAGTGTGTGTGTGGGATGATGAGTGTGTGTCTGTGTGTGGGATGATGAGTGTGCGTCTGTGTGGGATGGTGAGTGTGCGTGTGTATGGGATGATGAGTGTGCGTCTGTCCTCCCATACCCCGTCCTCCCGTCCTCCCGTCCCCGTCCCCCTGTCCTCCCGTCCCCGTCCCCCGTCCTCCCGTCCCCCCATCCCCCCGTCCTCCTGTCCGCCCGTCCCCCTGTCCTCCCGTCCTCCCCGTCCTCCCGTCCCTGTCCCTCTGTCCTCCCGTCCCCGTCCCCCTGTCCTCCCATCCCCGTCCCCCTGTCCTCCCGTCCCCCCGTCCCCCTGTCCTCCCGTCCCCGTCCCCCCGTCCTCCCGTCCCCCCATCCCCCCGTCCTCCTGTCCCCCCGTCCCCCCGCCCCCCCGTCCTCCCGTCCTCCCATCCTCCCGTCCTCCCGTCCTCCCATCCCCCCATCCCCCCGTCCTCCCGTCCTCCCGTCCCCGTCCCCCTGTCCTCCCGTCCCCGTCCCCCCGTCCTCCCGTCCCCCCCGTCCCCCCGTCCTCCTGTCCTCCCGTCCCCCCGTCCTCCCGTCCTCCCGTCCTCCCATCCTCCCATCCTCCCGTCCCCATCCCCCTGTCCTCCCGTCCCCGTCCCCCTGTCCTCCCGTCCCCCCCCCGCCCCCCGTTCTCCTGTCCCTCTATCCCCCTGTCCTCCTGTCCGCCCGTCCTCCCGTCCCCCCGTCCTCCCGTCCCCATCCTCCATTCTTTCAGGGACTCTGTGCATGCCCATCCATGCCCTCACCCAGCGTCTAGGTGTTCAGGAGCGTTACCCTCTAGGCCTGTGAGGCTTTGTGTCTTACATTTAGGCCTTTAATCCTGGCTGGGTTAATTCTGTGACGCTGTGAGGTTGCTGTCTAGATCCTCTTCCCGGCGGAGGTCTGGGGCCACCGCGGCCTGCAGGACACCTTCGCTCGCTCGCGACCTCCCTTGGGAGACCAGCTGCCTAGATCTGTGCGGCCCGTTCTCTTGGCCTGGACCAGTTTTGAGATTTAAAATGTCCAGAACTTGTCCCTGGGCAAGAGCTCAGTGAGGATAGCATCAGGGCGGCCAGAATAAAATCTTCAAGGAAATGAGAGGTCGAGGGTCTTTCAGAAAGAGACCGAAGGGAGGGAGGCGCAGACATTCCAGGAAGCACTGCCAGGCGGGTCACGGGTCTTCCCCGTTACCACGCCGCCCCTGGCCGGAGGAGCCGGCTGTCCTCGGCACTGTCTCCCGCGTGGAAAGGAAGGCCTGGGCGTGGAGGATGGGAGAGTCTGGGTCTCTGTCCTTGGGCCAGGCCAGATGAGAACATGGCAAGAGCAATGGCGGTGTCGCTGGGAGGGAAACGCGGCAGAGAACAGGGCTTGCGGTGGGCTGGGGCGCCAGGAGAAGGCGGTCCTGCCGACCAGCCACAGCCAGCCTCCACTCCGCTCCCACGGGCCTGTTCCTCCACCGAACACCTTCGCGCCTCCCTGCCGCCGTTCCCACCGGCTTCTCCCTCACAAGGCTTCCCCCCTGCAGTAGTCCATCCTGCCGATAAGCCAAGGGGTTTGCGTCTTAAAGTGGAAGTCCAGACGTTTTTCCAGTGACGGCCTGGATCACACGCTCAGCCCTGAAACAGAGGGATAAGAAGTGCTTGCTGGCACGTTACAGAGGCCTGTGTTGGTTGGGAAATCAAACCAGCGACTGTATTACAGGATAATCTGTCTGCATCTGAATGGCAACTTTGAATTCTTGTCAGGGTTGGTCAGTGATGGCTGGGAACAGGTGCTGTTCACCGGGTGGAGAACAGCAGAGCCACAGAAACACCGGATGCCAGAAATGGAGCATTACAAAAACGAGCTACACAAATGATGCTGAATATACGTGTGGGATTTTAAGCTTATCACTCGTTTTTCCACCCCCCACTGAGCCCCCATCCCCCGCTGACCCCCCTCTCCCCCTCTTCTCCCAGCATCCTCCTGTGACCAGGAGCAGCAGTCGGCCCTAGAGGAGGCCAAGCACCCCAAGAACGACAACGTGGTGATCCCGGAGTGCGCCCACGGCGGCCTCTACAAGCCAGTGCAGTGCCACCCGTCCACCGGCTACTGCTGGTGCGTGCTGGTGGACACGGGGCGGCCCATCCCCGGCACCTCCACCAGGTAGGTGCCTGGGACACCGAGAGGGGGTGTGGGGCGAGGGGGCGCAGAGCCTGCCCCAGCACGGACACTGCCAGGCTGGGGTCACAGAGGCTCCGGGGTGAGCCCCCCCCAGCTCCTGGAATGAGGCCCCCCCCCGGCTCCTGGGGCAAGCTCCCCTTGGCTCCCGGGGTGAGCCCCCCTGGCTCCTGAGATGAGGCCACCCCCCGGCTTTGGGGCGAGTCCCCCCGTGGTTCTGGGACGAGGCCCCCCTGGCTCCCGGGACGAGCCCCCCGGCTCCAGTACAAGCCCTCCCCCCCCCCCCCGTGGCTCCGGGACGAGCCCCTCCCCTGGCTTCAGTACAAGCCTCCCAACTCTGAGATGAGCCCCCCCACTCCCGGGGCAAGTCCCCCCGTGGCTCTGGGACAATCCTCCCCCCCCCAGCTCCTGGGCCCAGGCTGCCTTGGAAGCTCTGGCCAGCCACAAGTCGGGAAAAGCACATTTCTGAGGGTTGCCAGGTGCCAAATACGGGGAGGAGAGCCACAGAGCCCCCAGCAGGGAGAAGGCCAGGCCTCACTGGGGGCCAGGTGCAGCCCTTCGCGGGCCGCTGGCTTTGACCACAAAGGGCAAGTGTTTCAGAAGCAGAGGAACATGACCCCGGACTAGCTGTGCATAGAATAGAAATGCTGGTGTTCTGACATTATCTTTTTCAAAGAGCGAGAATACAATACAAGGATGTTATCCGGAGTTGTTCCTCGCTGCTTTATGTAAGTCTGGGCAGCCTGGCAACCTTGTCCCAGGCACCAAGGACAGAGTGGCCTGCTGGACACACGGCATGGCTCTTTGCTTTATCTGGAATGCGAGGAGAGGAGTCTACTAATGGAAGAGTGTATTATCTCTCCCAGGTCTTGGGCTGATTTCTGCTTTCATCTCTAATCATCTGGACATGGCCGGGGCCATATTTCCTAAGTTGTGTTCCCCGATGTTTCAAGTGTGACCCTGGCTTTCAGTAAGGAGTGGGCTGTGTAGATCACGGCTCTGGGTGAGGAGTGGGCTGTGTAGATCATGGCTCTGGGTGGGGAGTGGGCTGTGTAGATCATGGCTCTCAATGGGGAGTGGGCTGTGCAGATCACGGCTCTGGGTGAGGAGTGGGCTGTGTAGATCACCGCTCTGGGTGAGGAGTGGGCTGTGTAGATCATGGCTCTGGGTGGGGAGTGGGCTGTGTAGATCACGGCTCTGGGTGAGGAGTGGGCTGTGTAGATCACGGCTCTGGGTGAGGAGTGGGCTGTGTAGATCACGGCTCTGGGTGGGGAGTGGGCTGTGTAGATCACAGCTCTGGGTGAGGAGTGGGCTGTGTAGATCATGGCTCTGGGTGGGGAGTGGGCTGTGTAGATCATGGTTCTCAGTGGGGAGTGGGCTGTGTAGATCACGGCTCTGGGTGAGGAGTGGGCTGTGTAGATCACGGCTCTGGGTGAGGAGTGGGCTGTGTAGATCATGGCTCTGGGTGGGGAGTGGGCTGTGTAGATCACGGCTCTCAGTGGGGAGTGGGCTGTGTAGATCACGGCTCTGGGTGAGGAGTGGCCTGTGTAGATCACAGCTCTGGGTGAGGAGTGGGCTGTGTAGATCATGGCTCTGGGTGGGGAGTGGGCTGTGTAGATCATGGTTCTCAGTGGGGAGTGGGCTGTGTAGATCACGGCTCTGGGTGAGGAGTGGGCTGTGTAGATCACGGCTCTGGGTGAGGAGTGGGCTGTGTAGATCATGGCTCTGGGTGGGGAGTGGGCTGTGTAGATCACGGCTCTCAGTGGGGAGTGGGCTGTGTAGATCATGGCTCTGGGTGGGGAGTGGGCTGTGTAGATCATGGTTCTCAGTGGGGAGTGGGCTGTGTAGATCACGGCTCTGGGTGAGGAGTGGGCTGTGTAGATCACGGCTCTGGGTGAGGAGTGGGCTGTGTAGATCACGGCTCTGGGTGAGGAGTGGGCTGTGTAGATCATGGCTCTGGGTGGGGAGTGGGCTGTGTAGATCATGGTTCTCAGTGGGGAGTGGGCTGTGTAGATCACGGCTCTGGGTGAGGAGTGGGCTATGTAGATCACGGCTCTCAGTGGGGAGTGGGCTGTGTAGATCACAGCTCTGGGTGAGGAGTGGGCTGTGTAGGTCACGGCTCTGGGTGAGGAGTGGCTGCGTAGATCACAGCTCTCAATGGGGAGTGGGCTGTGTAGATCACGGCTCTGGGTGAAGAGTGGGCTGTGTAGGTCACGGCTCTGGGTGAGGAGTGGCTGTGTAGATCACGGCTCTCAGTGGGGAGTGGGCTGTGTAGATCACAGCTCTCAATGGGGAGTGGGCTGTGCAGATCACGGCTCTGGGTGAAGAGTGGGCTGTGTAGGTCACGGCTCTGGGTGAGGAGTGGCTGTGTAGATCACGGCTCTCAGTGGGGAGTGGGCTGTGTAGATCACGGCTCTCAATGGGGAGTGGGCTGTGTAGATCACGGCTCTCAGTGGGGAGTGGGCTGTGCAGATCACGGCTCTGGGTGGGGAGTGGGCTGTGTAGATCACGGCTCTGGGTGAGGAGTGGGCTGTGTAGATCATGGCTCTGGGTGGGGAGTGGGCTGTGTAGATAACGGCTCTGGGTGGGGAGTGGGCTGTGTAGATCATGGCTCTGGGTGGGTATTGGGCTGTGTAGATCACGGCTCTGGGTGGGGAGTGGGCTGTGTAGATCACGGCTCTGGGTGGGTAGTGGGCTGTGTAGATCATGTCTCTGGGTGAGGAGTGGGCTGTGTAGATCATGTCTCTGGGTGGGGAGTGGGCTGTGTAGATCACGGCTCTGGGTGAGGAGTGGGCTGTGTAGATCATGTCTCTGGGTGAGGAGTGGGCTGTGTAGATCATGGCTCTGGGTAGGGAGTGGGCTGTGTAGATCATGGTTCTCAGTGGGGAGTGGGCTGTGTAGATCATGGCTCTGGGTGGGGAGTGGGCTGTGTAGATCATGGCTCTCAGTGAGGAGTGGGCTGTGTAGATCACGGCTCTGGGTGGGGAGTGGGCTGTGTAGATCATGGCTCTGGGTGAGGAGTGGGCTGTGTAGATCACGGCTCTGGGTGGGGAGTGGGCTGTGTAGATCATGGCTCTCAGTGAGGAGTGGGCTGTGTAGATCACAGCTCTCAATGGGTTGTAGTCTGTGTAGATCACGGCTCTCAGTGAGGATTGGGCTGTGTAGACCCCAGGACAGGAAACAACAGACATGCCCCATCCAGGTCAAGTCCAGCCCAGCTGCCCTCCATGCCCCTGAGCACAGCTAGTGCCGGCTGCAGTTGTGCTTTAGAAACCATACCGTGCAGCCTGGAGCCAGTGCATGTCCGACAGCCCCATGCAGGGTTCCGGAAGGCCAGTGTGGCCTCTGCCTTGTCTGAACCAGCACGCTGGCACAGGGCGCGCTGCCGGCTAAAGAGAGGCTTGGATTCAACTGCCCCTTGCACAGCTTGCAGTGTGGCGTTCCCGGGCTCAGCCCGGACATCTTTTTGCCCCTGTGGGTGGACCAGAGCCTTTCTTTGGCACCGGCATTCCCACACGCTCCACCCCGGCTACGTTCAGCACTTGCTCCCCGACAGCTCCTGCCAGCCGTAGCCCCCGCTCTGCCATGTTTGGGACGGAGGTGAAACATCCCTGGCAGACGCCCTCTCGGCTCTGGCCAACAAAAATCCTTTAGCTGTCAAGGCCAGAACTCCTCAACTGGCTATGAAATCTGAGATCAGCATTTAGAATTTTATCCCTGAGGAATCGGAGAGAAGTTTTACGTTATAACCCAGCAGACACAAAACGAACCCTCCTGTCCTCTCCCCATCCTGATTTCCTCCAGCAAAGAATTGGTTTGGGTTTCATGCTCCAAAGGAGAGGCCACGGTGGTCATCTTCCCTGCTCCCGATCACAGGAGGGAGTAGCTGCCCCTTTCCTGAGCTTTGGGAAGGAATATCAGACAGAACCGGCTCCTCAGATGCCCTGACTTTCGGCACTGCAAGGCTGCACACACCACAGGGGGGCTGGCTGGCAGATGCTCCAGGGCTGGGGGAGGCCCGGGTGGTCCGGTGCGGCTCCTCGGGCTGGGGGAGGCCCGGGTGGTCCGGTGCGGCTCCTCGGGCTGGGGGAGGCCCGGGTGGTCCGGTGCGGCTCCTCGGCTCTGTGGCTGACTGTCCCGTCCTCTGCTGGCCTCTGGGCACTCTGCGGCACAGCACTGGGAGGCTGGGCCATTCCCAGACCTCAGGAGGTTGTCACCATTACGAGGAGCCTTTGCCTCCCTTCCTGTTCGAGATTCCTCAACCTGCCACTGGCCAGGGCTGCTCCTGGTGACCCTGGTTAGAATCTCTGTTTGCAGCATAACACCATGTTTTAGAAGAAGAGACTTTCTTTCTTTGACAGCCAGTAAGAGCTTCCCCACCCAGAGCTCCTCAGGCGGGTCTCTCTCATAGACACTAAAACCCTTTCCTGCGAGACCCCCGACCCATTTATATAATGAACCATTGGCTGGCTTTGGATCATATGCTCGTAGATAAACCCTTACCTGGAACGGGTTTAATTTAAATATTAGATCGGTTTGATTACCAGCTAAGAGGCCGCACTGCTGGGCTCTCGAGGAAAGCGCTGGTGTCAGTGCCACCCCCCCCCCTGCCCCCTGCTCTGCCCCACCCCCGCTCTGCCCCACCCCCGCTTCGCCCCCCCACCCCCGCTCCGCCCCCCCACCCCCGCTCAGCCCCATGGCTTCCCAGCCCTGTCCCCTGTGGTGTCCCCCCCAGGAGGACGGGTGCGTGGTGGGTGGCCTTCAGTACCCTCTGCTGTACAGACTCTCTCCTTCCCGCTTCCCTGAAACACGCAGCTTCAGGGAGAGGCTTGGTGGTTTGGGTGTACTCCGTGGTTACTGGGACAGCCACGGTAGGAGGCTGCAGCGAGGGTGTGCTGCCTCTGACAGGCTAGCCTTCAGCCCTCATGTCCCCTGCAGAAGAATTGTGGTTGATCTTGCCTGAGACCCTAGTCAAAGTCCCAGACAGAGACAGAAGCTGGTTCTTCCCAGTGCCAAATGCTACTGGGGCCACCAGACTGAGAAATGGCAATGCTCCTGGCTGTGGGGTCAGATGGGTGTCCTGCCGTGGTCCTGGGGGGGGGGGAAGGGCCCCAGAGGCAGGAGGTGGGGCCCCGAGCCGGGAGGCGGGCCCCCGAGCCGGGAGGCGGGCCCCCGAGCCGGGAGGCGGGCCCCCGAGCCGGGAGGCGGGGCCCCACAGGGCTGCGTCTCAGGCCTGGGGGAGCCTGGGTGGGGGGAGAGCAGGTCTGGACTTGGCACCGGCCAGTGATGAGGAGAGAGGAGGAGCAGGCTAGCGGGCTCCAGGCCGGCTGCCAGCCCTTCGTTAGGGCCGCACAGAGGCAGCCCTTCCCCCTCGGGAAGGCACGGTGGCTCTCTGCACCTGCTGCTCTGCTCCGACCAGGCAGCGCCTCTCTCCGACCCCTGCTCCTTCACGTGGGCCGCGTGCACCTTGACCTGCGCTTCCCCATGGCAGCTAGCCCTTGTCTGGTGGGCAGTCAGGCTGGGGGTTCCCTTGACCCTTAGAAGGACATTTAAACTGACAGGAGGAGGAGGGATGACGCATGCCAGAGACTGGATTCAGTTCCTAAGGCGTTGAGCGTGTCTTCTGCAAATGACAGACATCTCACACCACTCCTTAGAAGGGACAGAATTCTTAAATATAGATTTTAGATGTTCAGAACCAGTGCTAGCATTCTCGAGCTACGTCAGGCCCACTTGGAACAAAACCCACATGGTCATAAGGTACTTTCCAAGTCAGAAGATTCAGTGTGAAACTCTGTCTCGTGGTGGCACAGACCTGTAATCCCAGCACACGGAAGGTTCAGGAAGGAGGGTCACAAGTCCAAGACCAGATTGAACTCCAAAAACAAATGTATCTCTGAGACGTGTGTGTGCCACAGGTGCCCTGAGAAGGGTGGTATGCTTCCAGAAGTTCCAACCAGCTGCTCGCTTTTAGCATCAGAACGGTCAGGGCTGGAGCGGTGCCCGCGGAAGCTCAGATACCCACTCAGTGCTGAGGGTCCGGCCTGGCCTGGCTCCCGCCCACCCTTGGCCCCTCCCTGTGGGTCACCCCCACCCAGGCGGGACCCCGGGCTCCTCGGGAGAATGGATTTGTCGGCGCGGTCCAGGGGGACAGAGTGGGGTAAACTGAGGGGTGCAGGCGGTGCTGGGGCTGCGCCAGGCCATGCTGAGTCCTGGGTGGCTGAGGGAAGCCAGTGCTCCTGCAGGGGGCCTGGGGTCAGGACGCACAGGGAGGGGATGAAAATGCGTCTCCAGGTTTCAGGCAGCGGCTTTCTCTTCCCTCCCCTCTCCTCGCCCCTCCCGCAGGTACGAGCAGCCCAAGTGTGACAGCACAGCCCGGGCACACCCAGCCAGGGCCAGGGACGCGTACAAAGGCCGGCAGCTGCAGGGTGAGTACCGCCTTGGCCCCACCTCTGTCAGCGCACGAGACTGTTCGCGCGCCACCCTCCGGAGCCAGGGTGAGCCCGGAGCCATGTCGCTCCGCTGGCCGTGCAGCGAGAGCTGCCCAGCCCCAGCCACACGGGGCTGTGAGGTCAGGACCCCCCATGGGTCTGGAAGGCACCTGGCCGGGTCTACCCGGAGGGCACCGCACCCAGCCCGCCCTCTGCCACTGTCAGCCACCTACCAGAGGGATGCGGTCCCTGTACCAAGTGTCTCATGTGACAGAAACTGGAAGAAAAGAATCAACAGCCAGGGGAAGAAGGAGCTTTATGACAGACAGGGTTTTCTCTGAAGGGGAGAATTCTGAGCCAAAGTAGCAGCAGAGCAGAGGTGAAGTTTCGTGGAGCGTTAGAGACGCCAGGTGGCCCGGAGGGGTCAGGCGAGGCCGTCCACCTGCTTCCCGGGTGAGGGGGGCGGTGCCCAGATGGCTTGGTCTAAGAGAACCAGACACGGGTCCTGGTGACCGGCAGCCCCAGAGGCTCCAGGCTCCTGGGTGGGGTTCATCTTTTATGGACCTTTTGTCCAGGCGGCTGCTCTGGCATCTGGTCAAGTCACACCCTCACGCCGGGGCCAGCCCGGCTCTCCCCTGCCCAGGTCTATGCCCGCAGTCCAGGGCTTTGCTTGCTCAGACTTGTTATCTTAACTCTCCCCAGAGTGGAAGGCCGTGGGTCCCGCGGAGTCTCTGCTGTCCCAGGGCCCCGGGCAGGGGGCTGCGGGCTCCGGCCGCTCTGCTTTCCTGGGTCCCTGGGCTGGGGTCGCCTCCTCCCGGGCTTTCTCTCCCTGTTTGCCCACACAGCTCTAATCTCCCTCAGCGGGAGGAGGAAGGGCTGGCGGGCAGCACGGGCCTCCTGTGGGGCCACAGCAGATGGGCCTTCGCACCATCCCCAAGCGACGGCCAGGCTGCAGGCCCTGGAGCCGGGCCAGCTTACCCCACGCGCACAAACATCTTGAGAGAGTGCTGTTACGGCCACCTCGTCACTTGTGTTATTGGGGATAATTTGCCTTATTAGGAAAGAAAAGCCCAAGGAAGTTTTAGCTCCAGGACACAGACCGTTCCCGGGAGGAGGAGAATGTTATTTCCATAAATAAACAGCAACAGGCGCATAGCTCAGCCGCGCAGGGCCGAGGGTTCAGCCCCCATCTTCTCTTGGCACACCAGGCCCTTCCTGGCCCATGCGGTGCCTGTGTAGACCCCACAGAATGGTCACGTTCAGTGTTGTGTTCTTTTAAAAGTGCTGCAGGGCTGAACGTTCATCCTCAGCCTACATTGGACAGGCAGCAGGTGGTCTAGCCAGGCTGGTTGACAGGAAGCGATCACTCAGTCTTGGTCAGCCAACAATGAGCCTCTGGAGCACAAGCCAGGCTCTGCTCCAGAGCTCTGCAGTAAGAGCTGCTCTGGAGCTCTCTGGAGGCTGCACTGTGTCTTGAGAAAAGTAGAGAACCTTCAGAGAGACATCCCGACAGAAGACATTGAGCGGCAGTTCCTCTGAAAGTGTGCCTTCTTACCAAGGTCTGGTCTCTCTTGATTACTTTCTAGTTAGTATTGTAGATAATTCTTCAGCTCTGCTCCCTCCAGCATCCCACCTCTCTCGCTCCAGCATCCCAGCCTCTCTCTCCAGCATCCCAGCCTTTGTCTCCAGCATCCCACCTCTCTCGCTCCAGCATCCCAGCCTCTCTCTCCAGCATCCCAGCCTCTGTCTCCAGCATCCCAGCCTCTCTCGCTCCATCATCCCAGCTTCTTTCTCCAGCATCCCAGCCTCTGTCTCCAGCATCCTGACCTTTCTCACCAGCATCCCGACCTCTCTGTCTCCAGCATCCCAGCCTCTCTATCTCCAGCATCCCAGCCTCTCTCTCTCTAGCATCCCAGCATCTCTCTCTCCAGCATCCCAGCCTCTGTCTGCAGCATCCAGCCTCTCTCTCTTCAGCATCCTGGCCTCTGTCTCCAGCATCCAGGGCTCTGTCTCCAGCATCCAGGGGTCTGTCTCCAGCATTCCAGCCTCTGTCTCCAGCACCCCAGCCTCTCTCTCTTCAGCATCCCAGCCTCTGTCTCCAGCATCCAGGAGTCTGTCTCCAGCATCCCAGCCTTTCTCTCTCTAGCATCCCAGCCTCTGCCTCCAACATCCCAGCCTTTCTCCCCAGCATCCCAGCCTCTCTCTCCAGCATCCCAGCATCTCTCTCTCCAGCATCCCAGCCTCTGTCTCCAGCATCCCAGCCTCTGTCTCCAGCATTCCAGCCTCTCTGTCTTCAGCATCCCAGCCTCTCTCTCTTCAGCATCCCAGCCTCTGTCTCCAGCATCCAGGGGTCTGTCTCCAGCATCCCAACCTTTCTCTCTCCAGCATCCTGGCCTCTCTCCCCAGCATCCCAGCATCTCTCTCTCCAGCATCCCAGCTTCTCTCAGCATCTCAGCATCTCTCTCTCCAGCATCCCAGCCTCTCTCTCCAGTATCCTAGCATCTCTCCAGCATCCCAGAATCTCTCTCCAGCATCCCAGCCTCTGTCTCCAGCATCTCAGTCGCTGTCTCCACCATCCCAACCTCTCTCTCTCCAGCATCCTGGCCCCTCATGTCCAGGCCTTTTGTGTCTGAGCAGCCTCTTGCAGCGGCACTGTGGTCTGTCTGAGCAGGGCTATGTCTTCTCCGTGGCGTCCTCCCTACCCTGAGGCTCTCCTGCTGTCTTCAGGATCTGCCTCCTCAGGGACACGGTCCCCGCCACTGCCCCACGTGGCTCTCCCATGCCACCCAGGGTCCCCTCAGAGGTGAGGAGGGGCCTCGAGCTCTCGGCCCAGACGCCCTCTGAGGTGCGGTATGAGTGAACCTGCCTCATCTCCTCATCGTGCCTCTGCCTGCTCTGCAGGCTGATTGGCTAATCACACGGTTTTCTTCATGCTGAGCACCCACAGCACCTGTCGTTCATAAATACAAGGGTGTCTAGTGTGGGGAGGGTCACCAGACCCTCAGCCGTGCAGAGAGGAGATGGGCTCAGTGCTGAGCCTCAAGTTCAGGAGAGTGGCAGGATCTTAGCTCTGCTCGGTGGTTTCAGAGGAGACTGCATGCAGCAGCAGAGGCTGGCAGGCATGTACGCTTCAGTGTGCGTCTGGTTCTCGTTATGGAGACGGGGTTTTGCTGTATCACAGGCTGGCCCTGCACCTCTGAGCTCAGCTGTCTCCTCCTTCTGACTGTGCATCGCAGAGTCCAGGCGCTCACCAGCTCATCCGGGGATTCTTGTTCCTTTGCTGAGCCGGAGTACGGGCAAAGACCAGGCACAGTGAGATGCACTGGCCGCCAGCCGCACCTCCACAGGCGCCCATGCCAGCTCTGAGCAGTGTTGGTCAAAACGATGTCAAGAAACTTTAGGGGAAAGCAGTACCCATTGTTCTTACCCCATGCTTGCCTGTCCTGAGCAGGGGTTTGTTCTCAGGTGCAGTTGTAGTTGACTGAGCCTTAGTTGCCATCCCCCCAGCCTCATTCCAGCCTGTCAAGTGGAGCGGCTATTTCATTAGTCATATCACCCCTGCTGCCCTTGCACAGGACACAGCCCTAAGTCAGGAGAGCAGGGGACCCACACATAGCAAGCCGGCATGGCCATGGTGAGCTGGCGTGGCCACGGTGAGCCCGTATGGCCGTGGTGAGCTGGTGTGGCCTCTGTGAGCTGGTGTGACCTTGGTGAGCTGGCATGGCCATGGTGAGCTGGTGTGACCTTGGTGATCTGGCGTGGCTAAGGTGATCTGGTGTGGCTGTGGTGAGCTGGCTTGGCTGTGGTGATCTGGTGTGGCTGTGGTGATCCGACATGGCTAAGGTGATCTGGTGTGGCTGTGGTGAGCCGGCATGGCTGTGGTGATCTGGTGTGGCTGTGGTGAGCCGGCATGGCTGTGGTGATCTGGTGTGGCTGTGGTGAGCCGGCATGGCTGTGGTGATCTGGTGTGGCTGTGGTGATCTGGCATGGCTAAGGTGATCTGGTGTGGCTGTGGTGAGCTGGCTCGGCTGTGGTGATCTGGTGTGGCTGTGGTGAGCCGGCATGGCTGTGGTGAGCTGGTGTGGCTGTGCTGAGACATCGTGGCTAAGGTGATCTGGTATGGCTGTGGTGAGCCAGCGTGGCTGTGAACTGGTGTGGCTGTGGTGAGTGGCGTGGCTGTGAACTGGCGTGGCGGTGCTGAGTGGCATGGCTGTGAACTGGCGTGGGGGTGCTGAGTGGCGTGGCTGTGAGGACGGGCCTCATTTGCATCTGTGCTTTCCTACAAGCTGCCCATCCTCATGCTGCCCTCCCCTCTCCAAATGAAGCAGTGCGGACTCTGGCTTCCGCTGCCTCTTCTTCAGCCTCTAGTGAGCCGTTCTTCCTCACTTTGAACGCGTACCTCTGGTGCTCCAGGGATTTACGCCCAGCACTTGCGTCAGCATACACACCACGTCCTCCTGGTCGTAGCCAGCTGTGCTTTGCTGGCTTTGTGGGTGAGATTCTATGGTGCAGGTTCGTGGCAGCACGCAGGCTGCGGAAGTCTGCTACCCCGGCTCTGGGACCCTGGCAGAGATGCCAGCCTCATCCCCATGACTGAAGACTGTGGGTGAGAAACCGACCTCAGAGCAACTGGAAAACCGAGAGGAGGGTTACTGGTGTACACTGAAAGTCCCCCTGATTTCTGTAAACGTCTTGGTGGAATTCTTACTCACTCTCCTCCAGATTTTTCTGTGTGGATTCCCCTCACATCCGTGGGGGACGTGGTGCCCTGTGCAGTGTTTGGCAGGAGGCTGGGCTGTCCTGGGTCTGTGTGAGCTGCAGCTTTGCCAAAGCACAGAGCAGAGCAAGCCTGGGCGGGCACAGGGCCTGCCTCTGGAAATGGCGATGGAGCTAGAGAAGATGATTGCCAGTGATAAAATGGAGTCATTTTTCTCCCTGGTGGCTTAATTCTGGAAGAACTTAATTGGTCATTCCAAGGCCAGAGTACCCAGGCGGGA